TGTACTAGTTGTGTGTTTCAGATAGGCAAAGTTGGATTTCAAATGTGAGAAAACAGCACATACTCTGAAGACTTAACCCTTGGTTTCCTGTTAAAAACCAAGCAGTCACAGATTTACTTAATAGTTTCCTCCTTCTCAGCTATGCGAATTTTCAAAGGTACATAGAGCCACAGTTTTTAATAAGAACAAAATAATAAAGGTTGTATTTAAAACTGTGCGTGTGATTTGTGAGTTCTTTTTAAACACATTACTTCACAAATCTGCTTTCTGTGGCCAGAGTCAAAAGGATGCAAACCTCCAGTGAAAGTCCAATAAAAGTGGCAAGAGGCGGGGAGGAACCTTATAAAATAAAAACTGGTGCAAGAGGAATTGAAACCTGTAGCTGCAGCCTCCTCTTGTGCAAACTAGTTTCACAGGATTTACAGGCAGTGTTTGTGTCATGCTTGCATGGCTTTGTTATTGAGGGAAGAGAATCTCCCATAAGGAACTGTGAGCGCAAAGGAATGAGAAGATATTTTACATGAGAATATGGAAGAATATTGACCTGGTGGCCAAGTCGTTAAGCACTGCCCTTTGAATTTATTGTATAAATCTGCTTAGATTTATATTCTTCTTTGATTATTGCCAGCAGGTTGAGGGATGTCCTTCCTCTCTCTACTCAGCATTGCTGAGATCTTACCTGGATTGCTGGGTCTAGTTCTGGGCTCTCCAGAGCAAAAGAGATCCGGAACTGTTAGAGAGTCCGGTTAAAGGCTGTGAAGATGATGGGAGGGCATGGAGCAGCTCCTTTCTTATGAGAGGAGACAGCTGGGACTGTTCTGTCTGGAGAAGAGAAGGGTCGGGGAATTTCTGTAAAGAGTTGAAGGGAGAGTGCAAAAAGAGAAGGGAGTCAGTGGTGCCCAAGGACAGGTCAGTAGGCACAAACAAACATCAGGAAGCACTTCACTGTGGGGGTGACCCAGCACTGCCTGGAGGCTGTGGAGTTTCCTTTTTGGAGTTCTTCCAGAGCTGCATGGCCTTGGGTGCCCTGCTCTGGGTGTCACTGTTGGACCGGAGGCACCCAGAGACCCCTTCCAGCCTCAGCTATTTTGTGATCCTTTGACAAACTGTGAGAATCTGTACTGTAATCAGTTTACTCCAGTATCTTTGGTAATGATATGAAAGGGTGCATAAGCAACACATCAGATTATTTCTAGTTGTGGTTAATTTTAATTCATATCTGAGAAATTAAAGATAAAACAAGTAGCCTGGGGAGAGATGGAGGGGAGGAAAAGAAGACTGATATGCACTTGAATGCTAAAGAAGGCCTTCAGGTCTTCACTGTCGAAGACCAGCTGCGTATGAAGCTTTGCAGCTACTAGCTGAGTTCTTTCTAGCCACTGCAGGGAGCCAAAAGGACAGGCTGCTCATCAGAGCGTGTAATCAGGTTCAGGCAAGAGCCCAGGTCATCAGGCTACTCTGTGATATGAAGTCAAGTCTAAGAACAAGCTGGGAAGTCCGACCGTGAGTCAGAGCGTGAACCCAGATGAGAAATCAGCATTGTGCTCCAGGCCAGTAATTTGATGCAGAACTCTTCAGAGGACAGGAAGCTGTATGCCAGGCTTCATGCTGAAGGTAGCAAAGAGGAAGTAGACTCCAGAGAAAAGTGGAAGATGGTAGCAGATCAGCTGGTTAAGAAGAGATCAGTCCAACTGGTATGGAACAGGGAAATGATGAACAGAAGTGCTTTCTATAACCGTGGAGAGATGGAAATCTGTTTAGAGAACAGGTCATGGCTCACCTATCTTAAGCTCTCTTGCCCTCTCCAGAAATCCATAGTTACTTAAAACTGAACAAAGTAAATTCTTTCTCTTCTTCTCTCTACTCCTTCCTCCAAAACGATGAAGAGAAAAATGATTGGACTGAGGAAGAAAACAGGAAGGAAGGAATGAAGTGAAAGCGTTGAGTGATAGTGGTGTAGTATTCTGGACATGAGACAACAGATGGATCTCTGTTGGCCTGTTGTGTTGGGATGTCTCTCTAGAGTAAAATCTGAAAAGTTTGTAGTGCAGACATAAGTGCTCCTTTGTTCTTGGAAAGTAGTATCAAGATGGTTTATAATTATCTTCAGGGTCTGTTTAATAAATAAGTTCTTGTTGCTCTGCTTGTGTTGGGAGTCAGGTACTGGTTTGACTGTTCACTCACAGTGTGAGTTTTCTGCTCCTTGGCTTGCTTATTGTGCTCTGTAACCCAAGAGTATCCTGCTGTTCTATGGCATCAGCTGCTGTGGAAGTGCAGACTGTTGTCCTGTGATTTTGATTCTTTAAACAAGATCTCTAAAGCTAATCCTCAGTGATTGTAATCACTAGTTTGTTCCCCTGGCAAAATAGGATTAAGGCGTAGAGATCAGGTTGTATTAATGATGCTAATCTGATTCAGTTTGCAGACGCTGTATTGTTGGACAACAGAATTGTTTCCTGTATTTTTCATAAAATTTTTCCTGGTTGAAATTATTTGTATTACTAGTGCTTGTCATCTCCCAGTAATTCCATCTGAGAACTGCAATCTGGTGAAAGTGATGAAAACATTACTTATAAAATTAAGATGTATGTAGATACCTCTTTCTTATAGTACAAAGACAAAATTGATTCTTTCTCAAAAATATTTAGCAATGTTACTGTTGAAGTGTTGGAGGAGACATAAAAGCTTTAGTCACTGACTATATACAGAATTGGCTGTTGCCTCATCTGTCATACTTGTCATGAGCAAGATTGTGGTGTAATTTCCCAGTGTTCCCAGTTTTTGAACTTGTTTTTCTAAGATTTAATACTGTCAGTATGCAGACCAGTCAATGACAAAATCGGATTGAGGTTACTGAAATTCCTTCAGCCTGTAACATGGAACATTTTGTCAGATGATGCAGATTTTTTTGTTGTTACCTGAGGTTGGATTGTGGCTTTTTACCCTAGGACTTATTCAGAACTGTGTTTCTTTGGCTGTGCACTAATTTGCTATCCAGTAACTGCATGTCACTCTCAGAATGATAAGTCAGCACAGCACAGAGGCTGCGGTATTGCTAGCTTTCCTGCTTTTGCTGCAGATTGAGCAATGTTGGGTATTAATAATTTGTACATCCATGGCAGCAGCTGAGGTTTTTGATTGAGGAACTTAGGTTTTCCTAAAAATAGTAAGTCACTATTCTTCTTGATCAGACAGAAAAATTTGAAAGCATGCACTGAATGTGTACAGAAGATAGAAACAACAACAAAAGAATTGATCATATTAAAAATAATTTTCAGAAACAACAGCAAAAAAAAAACCCCAGCACTCATGATTTATAGAGACAGACTCCTGACCTTTGAACATTTGTGGCTGAAAGAGCTGGTGTGTAGGCGTCCAGACCTCTCTGCTTGCTTTCACATGCATGCCATTTCTACTGAGTTAGAGATCTGTGTGGTTTTGGTTACAAAAGCTTTTCCACTGTGATTAGCTTTCCTTTTGGTCTGGTTTAAGCTTGCCTGTGTTCTTTTATAACATAAACATATTCTTGTCCTCTTCATCTTGAAATCCCATTTTGAAATATTCTTAAAAACTTTGGTTTCTTTTTTTGCTTTGTTTTAGACATTGATGTGCATGGTTGTGTGCTTAAGGTCTGTATTGTTAATGGTGATCAAAAGCAAAAAAAGCCCAAACTTCTGCATGTTGCAGAGATGAAGTCTAAAATTTTCCTCTGCTAGGAGCTGGGTGAGAGTTGGCAGAGTTCTTCAGCTCCAAGCAGTTTAAAAACATGGGTTTCATGTTGCAGTCTCTGTAACCTAGCCTACATGGGACTCCTTGTCACTGTTAATGTTTGCACTTGTCAAAGGGAACAAAACAGGAGAGGAGAGGAGGCTGTAAGCACCTAAAAAAGTAGGTCAATGGGGCAGCAGGTTATTTGGCCAGAAAAGAGTGAGTGGCTTCATTGAATCATGCCGTAATTGTTTTTCCTCTTTTTGGCAGATTGTTCTACTGTGTTTTAACTTCCTATGTTAATATCTGTGTCTGGTTTTTAACCACTTAAGAGCCTCTGCTAGGTGCGAGGGAAGGAGAAATTTAATTTTTCTAATCGAAAAAAGTGCAGAAATAATTCTGATGTTTTCAGTAGCATTAATGAATCTGAGAGTAGCATAAGCTTTGTTTTTAGATCACTATGTCCATTTTAGAATCTAATGCTTTTTATAATGAGATTTGTAGAAAGTTTTATGAACACGTTGTTCAGTGAATTCATTTTATTTTAAGAACAGAAAGCAAGGCAGAGAGAAATGAGATAAAGGCAGGAGGAAAAAAACAATTTCAAGTAACTTAGAAACGTAGGAAGTAGTATGGTGTGAGGGAAAGACTATAAAATACATTCCAATGAAAAATAGTAGTATAGAGGAATCAGAAATTGAGAATCACTTAGACTGATTTTCTTAATGCAAATACTGCATTTGTGGGGTTAGTTTGGAATACGTTTTTGGAATGGTTTTTGAACTGGGTATTGAAAGAAGAATTTAATGTCTGTCTGAGGCAGCAGCAATAATGCAGCTGGATGACTTTTCTAGTCACTAACGGCATTCTATACATTCTGCAGTCCTGAGAGTAGCAATTCTGAGAGTTTGAAGAAGAAAACGCGTCAGTGAGAAAGACAGTGGAGGGCCAAGTAAGAGTTTTAGCAGGAGGGACGCTTAAATCATGGTGTGGAGAGCTGCTTTGCAGGTAGCAAATGAAAGCGAAGATGTAGGTGGTTGATACCACATTTAAAAGTAAAAATGATGTCAAGGTTAAAGATAGACATAAAGTGACAGCAGCTTGAAGCAGAGAAGAAATAGTTTTAGTATACACTGTTTAACAAGGAACAGAGCTTTTAAGCAAGGTGAATTCTGACAGTGAAAGCAAGCAGAATATGGCATTAATAAATCACATGAATACTTTTTTTATTTAGAAAATATTAATTCTGTAATTAATTGACTTAAAAACTCTCCTTTGTGATTTTTTTACAGTTCATAATTTAATGCTTTTCTGTAAAAGAGGATACTCCACATTGTTCTTGAGAAGAACCAGCGTTTCATCCCTAAACCATACACTTTAACAAGTCCCAAAGTATAAAAGGTAAAATAAAAGATATTGTTTTAATTAATAAAATTCCTCTGGCTTTCTGTCATCAACACTAAAGGCAGTGGCAAAGTAATGTCTTTTTTGCTGTAGAACATGACTGAATTTGATTTTTAGAAATAGACATAGTCCTTGATTTCTGTGCTGTTTGCATTAAAGTTGCCTGATTTCACTGTATGTGTCTCTGCAGTCTTTTCCACTGACATGTATCACTGACAGTTACAGTTTCTTGCTACTTAGGGTGCAAAGGGTCAGACCTTGAAAAGAGAGAAAAAAAATTCACTACATATGCATTTTAGATAGTTTTTAAGTTCCTTTAATTGTTCTGGATGCCAAATCGAATCGCCAGTTCTGATGGAAGATCTGTGTACTGTAGTAAGGGAAACTAGAAACTGAGCACTTTGTTGAAGTGAAAAATATTGACTCTTGAGCTCTGATTCTGCATAAAGAAGATGTCAGCTATGTCACAAGTTGTATTTAGTGACATATGCTTAGCTGTATATTTTTCTTTTGCATATTAATGGAACAGTGCATCATTTAGCCAATGGAATTACATGTTACTCTTGATCCCCATGAGTTCCCAAATTGTTTAAAAACTGATGCAAGGTTAAAATTGTAACTACTGCATTCCTCTATCAGTATTGTATAATCTAAATGAATTCCAATCATCTTTAATTCTGTGCTAGTGATGGTAGATTGCTTTTACAGCTGAGCAATGTAACCTCTGCTTACTTCTCACAAAAATTTGAGCAAAAACTTTCAAAATTTATTTTTCTCTTGCCATTTCTGCCTTGTTTTCAAATAATGCAGCTTTGTTACTTTATAAACCTTGGTCAACAAATGTAGGGAATTAAGTTTGTAGGAACGGCCAATACAATTGCTATTTTGAAGTATTTGAATAGTAGAATGGTTTACTTCAAGTGCCTCTACAGGGCACTGCGCTTTGGAGAATAAATGCAACACAAAGCTGAACCTTATTACTTGAAGAAGTGGTTAAGAGGGCTCTTAGGCAAAATTGCATGCGCATTCTGTTATGTACCTTGAAGGAGACTGTGCTGCAGCCCAGCTTTCTCTTTTATTTTTCCCATTGTGCTCAGTTCTGAAGTTTGGTTTGAACATAAGCTTTCTTCCTCAGTTTCCCTTTCTGTCAAAAAACTGAGATTAGCTCTTCCTGGAACATTTTGTTCACTGATTGGATCATGAAGTAGCAGCTGCCATATTTCTTGCCATACTGCTCTGCTGGATTTGGCACTTTCAGAAACAAGTAAATCCTTCCTTCTCAGAAACTGTGATTTACTGAAGTGACTAAAATGAGCTCCTTTGAAATAGATGTAACTCCTGTTTAATGTTAAGTTCATAGCATTTAAAAAACACCTAAAAATCTGCAACTGTAGCTCTTATATAAAACTTTTTGTTTCACACAGTTGTTCCTTAATCTCTTAAATTCTAGTCCTGCTGCTCCATAAGCAGCTTTTGACTACTGACTTTTTTTATGTCAAAGAGAGATTTTACTGCACTGTTTTATCTTTGGCATTCAATGTTTCTGTACACCTTTGTAGTTCTGTAATGTTTGGGTACCAGCAAGTAGATATTTGTTGAAATAAATACTTTAATTTTAAATCCCCAAATTTGGAGCCAGGGAAAGGCTTATATTGGCTTTGTCCAAATTTACTGATTATGACATTTAATGAAGCAGTGTTCTTTTAAACTCTGTCATGTAAAATAAAATATTAAAGTCCAGGTTATAATGGTAACGGAGACTAGATTAGAGAAGATGTCAGTACAGAGCAGGAGACTGAGAGGAGATTAAAAGCAGTTTAAAGAAAAGATAAAGGCAAGTATTCTCTAGTGAAGTATGTGGTTATTCCTCCAGAGTTACATTTTGTTTTTTTTTTCTTTTCCTACAGGCAAACGTACAAATGTCTACCACAAGACTAAAGTGTGCTATGTTATGTTTTTTACCATAAGCACCCATAAAATGAGCTCCATTGCAGACAGGTATGCTTATAGAAACTGAGTTTTAAGGGAATTACTGTTAAATGTTTTCTTTACTGACTTTATTCTTACAGTTAATATACAGAGAATGATAATTTATGCAAAAAATAATAAGAGGGGTGAGGTTTTGGCTACTTTTGGCCACTGTTTTGATTGTCCTTAAATGTATTGTGTTGTAATAATTGGAAATAGTTTATTTTGTTGCTTGAGATGAATCTTAAAATGTATGACTATTTTCAGACATGGAACAGCATCTGTGCAAGTTGAGTTGATTTTTAGTGCTTACTTGATTTATTTTTTTTTAAATACTTCACTATTTGATTAAGGAAAACAAATACATTTAAATGATTAGTGGTGCTACATGACAGTAAACTGACCTGGTAACCTATTTCAAGGGAAAAATAATAGCTGGGACATGGTTTCTACTTGATTCCTTGCCCTAGACTTTCTTAGCAGCTTGGGTGAACATCTGTCCCTAATATACTGCTTGGTACCATTTTTCAGATTTCAGGAAATGAGACTTGCATAATATTTACAGAAAGTTAAGCCCATTCTGAATAAAACCCAATAAATATAAAGGATAAATGTTTTAAAGTACTTATGACTTTTTATTTTTTTAGTGAAGTTTTGCTGAATCTCTCTGAAACTTCATCATTTTGAAGATGTGAATTCTTTCTGAAAGTTTCATGCTAATGTAGTGACAGAAGATAATTATTTCCTAACATCTCTGCTTATCATCATGTATGATTACTTGATGATTTATCGCTGTAAATCAGAGGGATGAAGTAAGCTTTTTGAATGGACAGTTACTTGCCTCAAGGCAAGGAAACAGGAGGTTAAAAAATTAAGGTTGGACATGCAGTAGCCAGTGGGTGGACAACACTAAATAAACTGAATACAGACAGAAGAAATGGGAGAAATAAAATATGAGTCAATTATACAGCAGTTCTGGAAAACAGAAGAACAATTTCATCTTGACTTTTAAAAGGAAATCAAATAAAGTATTGTATAAAGTAACTGAGGCTTCTTAAAAGTAAAATGTTTTCATGTTAATATCTTAAAACCTCTTCAGCAATACATGCACAATTTTCAAGTTGAGTAAAAATTGTGATACTTGTTTAGGAACCAAATATAATGAATAATTAGTGCTACTGTTTAGAGTTAACAATATATGCATATATTTATATGCATAAAATTACTTGCATGGATAAAGTATAGCATGTTCCCGAGCTCTCTTCCATTACTGATGTATTTAAGGCAAAACAAGTGCTTTCTTACTGTAAGTATTTCCAATATTGTAACAGATCCTGTGAAAAAGTTGAAGCAACAAATTTCTCCTGTAACATTTTCAAAAGGATGGGGTAAATTCATTATTTAATTAAGAAGATGGAAAAATAGAATTAAATAATTCTTAACTAAATGTTTGTGTAGAATTTTGAGTTTGCATTGGAAATATCCTAAAACTAGTTTGGGCTGTGTCAGAAATGTCAGTCTTTATGCTGTCTGTTTAGTAAACAGTCTACAAAAAGTTAGAGCAGTTTGTCTTTGGGTTATTGATGGTGGTCCTTGTGAGATGTTACAGTAATAAAACAGTGCTTCAGTTTCTTGATTTAAGGGAAATGATGTATAATGAGCTCTCTCTTTTGTGTGTTTTTTTTGTTTCCTCATTCTTTTTGGTTCTTTCAGAAATGATGGAAGCATTTTTGATGGTCTGGTGGAAGAAGATGACAAAGATAAAGCAAAAAGGTAATTTTTCAGTTCACCTAATTCTAAGAATATCCTGTGCTTGTACCTTTGGACCAAGATTTCTCAGTGGAATAAAAAACATGAGTAAGTTGTAAGTTAAACATTGTAAGTAACCACATTTTATGACATTATTCAAGCGTTTCTGTTGCTGTTATTCTCTAGATTTGTGGTGTGTTTGTATTTTTGTCCAACCGGGGTCTATTGCGAAGACCCAAGTGCATCCTTCCTTGAGAAGGATACCATTCTTTCAAAATGTTGCCTGTGGTTTGGAGTAAGTGTGACAGTTCTTCCAGCGGGGGTTTGTAGTGTGTATCTTATTGTAAGTTCTCATAATTGCTATAAAACATTTTCTGTTTTATTTGTCAGAGTGTCTAGAAACAAGTCTGAAAAGAAACGTCGAGATCAGTTTAATGTTCTTATCAAAGAGCTGGGTTCCATGCTTCCAGGTAATGCTCGGAAGATGGATAAATCCACTGTACTACAGAAGAGCATTGACTTTTTACGGAAGCACAAAGGTAACTAACAACAAAAAATATGTTTGTAAGTTACGACAGTATTTATGATATGCACTAAGTACATAAAACATTAACCGTTGTGCAGCTCCTTTAAGGGTATTGTCAAAAATCTAAAGAGCCTCTGAAGAAAGATATTCATGTGATCATAGTTTAGGTACCAGACATATTGCTATATTTTTGACAGTATTTTTCAAAATCAGTATATATATATATATTTTAATCCCATAGCTGTTGAACAAGTCTCATAAAGAGAAGCATTTCTTTTCTAAATAACCTTGAAGTTGTTTGAGCTGGGCCAATGGAGACCTCTGTCATACAGTTGCTTCATAAGGTGCAAACTGTTAAAGTTATGCTTGTCAAGAGAGCTCTGCTGATCCATTTTAGTTAATGTATTTGTTGGAAGAACTTATTTTGATACTTAGATTCTGCTTTGAACAGTTGGTTTGTCTCTCCTGCTTCCATATGAAGCAAGATGAATTACTGAAAAAGCTAATCCAAGTGAATCTAAGCCCTCTCTCTGCTATATGACATCTACATGGCTGTCAGCTTTAACTGGGATTGACAGACCGTTGTGTTCTACAGCAGGCTTTATTGGGCTAGTTTGTTTGATGAGAGAGAGTGGCGTGCCTTGAGAATTTAGAAATGCAGATCTGGAACCCAGGCATTTTCTTTTTACCTTCTAGCTGTAGCACAGAGGGGAAAAAAAGGCAGGAAATCTATAAATGCTTTCAGCTGAACTTTTTCATTTTCGAGACATATCCACTTATATATAAGCCAATGAGTGTATGTTTTGTGAACTTGAATGTGAAATGTCAAAACTAGAAATATCTTTGGACATCTTTGCTGTGCTTTTGTTTCTCTATTTGTTTGCATCAGCTGATGGGGGGGGGGGGAGTACATTAAGATGAACTATGTTGAAATTCATTACCGATTGTTTTCTTTTAGCCAAAAAAAAAAACACCATCTTCTACCAAGCCTACACTATTTATGGCTGATATTTCTGTAAATGGCAAATCCCTATATGTGCTTGTACACTTGTTCTTAATATGGCACCTTGTGGTTCACACTGCCAAAAACAAGATTAAAATTCAAGAAACAAGCTCCTTCCCTAGTTAAGCCATTTCCTTGAGTAATTTCTTAGCTTGTATGCTAATTAGAAAGCTGTAGCAACAAAGGAAGCAGCTATTAGTTAGCTATAAAATAAAATAAGTAGGCTGTTAAGTGTGTGAATAAGTATTTGTTTATCCCACAGTGTATAAGTTCAAAGTATGTTAAGATATGGTAAATATTCCCTTAGTATTATTAACACAGTTCAAGCATCACCAGATGTGTTTTGCATAGTGCCATAGAATAAACTTAAACTTACTTTTTTTCCTGTTGCTGTTTTCATTCTATTGTTGTTTTTTTTTGTTGTTTTTTGAGTGTGTGTTTTTGGTTGTTTTTGGTTTTGAGAATAAAAGAAAAAATGTAGCTGTAGGGGTGGGTATGTTTTAAGGTCTTGGGCATTTGTCCTTGACCTAATGGGAGAGAATATTTGTGTGACTGCAGTTAACATATTAAGGTACCTAAAGCTCTGGCAGCCAGTGCCTACCAACATTGTTCTGCACAGGTTTACATTACAATGTTTTGCACAAAATGTTGGCTAAGGTCAGACGCTTGCTTTGCCTCCTGAGGTCCTTGGATCTGTTCATTATATTACTCTAGCAGTGAATAAATTGTTCAGCAAAGATTGCCTGCTTTTCTGTTGAAAATCCTACTGTGTTCAGCCACCAGATTTAGATTAAGTATGTTGCTTCTGGCTCTTTCTGGACCACTTCCACTTTGACTAATCTTGGTACTCTGGGAACAGGTCCAGATGAACTATCTGATTTGTTTATTGGCAAGAGTGGATTCTGCTTCTTATTGTAAACAAACAAACAAACAAAAAACCAGCAGGCTGAGCATACTGGAATTACTCTACTGAGAGCTTGTCACTTTGTAATGCTGCTTTGAATACCTTGAATTTGTAAACAAGAAAAATTTGAAAATGCTAGAATAGTGAAGAATTGATAAATGAGCAACATCCACACTGTGAGGAGACTGGAGAAGCTTTTGCTATTTCCTGCTGGTAATGTGTGACTTAGTGAAAAAGAAAGCAGCTTCTAGGAGTGTGAATCCTTATATTGTATTTTTGTTTTATTGTAGAAATTACTGCACAATCAGATGCCAGTGAGATTCGACAGGACTGGAAGCCAACATTCCTTAGTAATGAAGAGTTCACACAGTTAATGTTAGAGGTATGTTATCTCTACTTTTCTGGAAGTAGAATACTACCTCCTAGGGAGCTGTGAGTCCATGGTGACATTTTTTTTGTTTGGTGGCTTATCTTTCATGTGCATATTTTAATTCCATCTATATGTTTTCTTGAAGGTAAACAGCTGAATTTTGTATGTACATTAAATGTATATGGTAGTGAAATAGTTGCTTCTGTTTTAAAAGATTTTGCTAGCTATTTCTAGTATTTCTCAAGTGTTCTTACAAAGTATGTGTCCACAACTAGTGACTTACAGTTAAAAGAAAATGATGTAAGATTTTTGAATATGTGACCTTTAAAATTTCCTATTTAGAAATGCAATTCTGTTCGGTAATTTTCTACCAAAACTCAGTCATGTTTTTTCATCAGGAATATGTTTGAGTTAAGTAGAAGATAAAGCAATCAGAAGTGTGTTTCACAGTATTTAAGCTTAAGTAAGATCTTGCTACAAGTTTCTCTTATTGAAATTGGAGATATTGAGACTTTAAATATTGAAATGTGTTGGTTTCACCTCCTCTTCCATTTGTTCTTTTTATCATTTCTCCTCCTTTTCTTTCTTTTGCTGCCGGCTCATTTTCCTGAGCTTTCTGGTGTTTAAAATGATGCTGCAATTAAAAATAACGAGCAGACAAGATGGCATGCCACAGAGCCAACTTAACAACGCCTAGATGCGTCAGGACCAAAATCTTGCCTGTGAAATCATAGATTATTTGAGAACAGAGCAATATGGAAATTGTAATGCTCACAGTGTAAAAGCAAGACCGAGAAGTTTTAATACAGAATTCTCACTGCAAATTCAGTTAAAATTGGTCTAAATTCTTTTCAATGTTGCATGTAGCTTAGCATTTTAATATACAGTTTCTTTTTATTTAACTGCCTATTATGTTTAATTTCAGGCTCTTGATGGTTTTTTTTTAGCAATTATGACAGATGGAAATATAATATATGTGTCTGAAAGTGTAACTCCTTTACTTGAACATTTGCCAGTAAGTATGAATTGCTTTCAGTAATGTGCTGGTTTGTCTGTGGATAGTATTTTACTATCAGTACTAATAATTTTTGTTCTTTTGGGCATTATAGTGCAGACCTGTACAGTATTCTAATGCCTTTTCACACATCCTTGCTCATGGTTTGTGTCCTATATTAAACATTCCCTTTGAATATGCAGAATGCAGTCAGTGGTCTCTTATGCAAGATTAAGAAGTACCAGACTAGCATCAGTTTGTGTTCAACATGGCTATAACAACAGATGTGACTGTAGGAGATCCTTTAGTGTTCGCACCTATCGTGGCCTCTACATGAATCAGAAGAATGTTGCTGAAGAGCAGAACCTGGGATTTTTTTAAACTGATTTTTTACTGCTTATTTGCCAAAGAACTCTCCTAAGAAATACATCATTGCTGATTCTGCTTATTAGGCTGGGTGAATACTTCGAATTTTATTTCATTCACTCATCTTGAATTTTGGTGACATTGCTCACTGCTAAATTAAACGTTCTAGTTTTTAAAAGTTACCTTTGAATAATGCTACTAAGAAATGAGAAACATGAGTTCTCAAAAATGCACAGTTAATGAGTGGAACAGAGCTTTTTCTAGAAGGGGGGGACAAATTATTGGTACAGGCTGGTTGCCTTGTAGTGGTAAGAGAACTTTGCACAACATGGAGTGACATATTTTAAAAATGGTTCTGCCAAACAAATTCCTATAAAGTCTTCATGATATCAGCTTAAAATTTTTGAAAGTTGTACAATTGTGGTTTTTAAAATTTATAGTTTACCTACTTCTCGGAGGCATAGTTATCCATTTCTGTTAGATGTGATTTATATATTCTTAATATATGTTCCTGTGATCTTTTCTGAATACTTTATCAAATAGATTTATGCATAGAAACATGCATTAATTTTAATTGAATTCATCTGTACACTCCTAGCACTGTCTATATAGTTGTGAAACTAATGATAAAACACATTTGGAAATCATTCCCAATTGGATATAATTATTGCAAATATTGTCAACTATGTGATGTAGGGAGGTGCTGCTTTTTGTTACAAACTACTGGTTGGATGTGCTGATTGCCACTGACGGATTACAATGCACGAGACGGCCGCTATGTAATTTCTCATCTACATGCTGCTTTATTTACCTCCCAGAGAGATTAATAGAAGTTCCACTGCACTTACATGTGTATGCGTATCTGATGCATTCATGGCATTTTCATTAAACGATTCACACTCTCAAAACAAATGAAAATGGTGGATTTTTTTACTTGCAAAGTGTTCGCATGTAATCCAGCAAGTGACGTTAACAAGTTACTAATATTTTAGTGATATTTTTCTGATCTGTGGAATTGTTTTGCACTATAATAGTAACGTTTGTGATTTTCTATGTCTTGCATTATTTTAAAATGTATTAAATGTTTTTTCTTTCAGTCTGATCTTGTGGATCAGAGCGTATTTAATTTTATCCCAGAGGGGGAACATTCAGAAATTTATAAAATTCTGTCTTCTCATCTGCTGGAAAGTGATTCATTGACACCGGAATACTTAAAATGTAAGTAGCTGCATTAAGAACAATCCACTTCATATTGTATGTGATTAGTTCTTTTTTCCAGTGCTGTATAAGTGGAAATGTGTGGATGAGGCATGCAGAGTGAAACGTGCAACTTGAATGGAAGCACTTTCATGCTGCGCTGTTCCTCTTTTCCCTGAAGAGTAATTTTGTGTTGCATGGCATTTCACTCTATGACTTTGTTTACATGGCTTCTATTTAGACCATTCTAGCAGCTGACAAGAATGAAAACAGGCCATGGGTGTTGGAAGGACGTAAAGTTATGTTTTGGGCAGATGCTTGTTTAAAATAGTTCTATTTTTTTCAAGGGATCTGTATGTCCCTGGCATTCAGTCCTTTCATACACACATGCCAAATGAGTTCTCCTTTTCTTTAGCTTAGCTAATATCACACTGGTTAAAAACAAAGGCTGTAGCTATTTGTAATCACCATATTTACAGTATCTTAGTAAAGTATGCAACTTAATTATTCCTGCTTTCCATTTCTAGTTGCCCATGTGTTTAATCAACCATGCAATCTTTTAATTTGTTCGTTCTTTTCTCAGCAAAAAATCAGCTAGAATTCTGTTGCCATATGCTGCGAGGAACAATAGACCCAAAAGAGCAACCTACATATGAATATGTAAAGTTTATAGGAAATTTCAAGTGTTTGAATAATGGTAAGTAATTTCAGTCACATTAGAGTGGAATACTTTGGGACCTTCACACCTGAACAAGCTTAGGATGATTATGCAAAACATAAGGAAAAACTAAAATCAGTCTTTGAAAAGAAGAGCGTGAAACAGAGTTACATCAGTTTTTTGTAATGAAAACAAAGACTGCCCATCAGATATCATGTGTATTTGAAGGCAAAATATGAAGTCTTTCAGTTAAAGAAAGCTGCAAAACATTTTAAAATAGTGTAAGAGAAATTTAAGTCGACACTTTAAAGTAAGAGCCTGAATTAATTTAAGTATAATCCATATTTAAGTGGGTGACTGAGTAACTTGAGGATACTAAGTATCCGCTGTTCTCATTATTCTTGCAGTGAGCTGACAAGTAAAAATGCATATTCTGCACGTCCCCCCCCATTTCTGCTTTCAGTTGCAGGAGTTGCTATTCAGATCAGTGGATGGACCATTACAGAATTTCACTTTTCTGCACTGAATGACTTCTCTCATCCAATAAAGTTATTTTTATTCATTATTTCCACTTTTGTATACAGTATCTTAAGTTTGTTTGGGCAGCCTGTGCTGAGTAGCTGCTTGAGAGTCACATCTGTTTGGTTAGTCAGACAGGTGGATTGTGGGCTGTGCTCAGTAGATCACTTCTCAAAAAAAAAATCAAAAATTATCAAAAACTGTCTTGCAAATCAACTGACTTTTTTCATAGGATGAGGAGAGATTGAGTGTTAGAGCCGAAAGCAAGTATCTAATACTGTAAGAAAGCTAGAAAAACAGGTCTGTAGAGATGAAATATGATGTTAGTCTCAGAAAGAGGAGCTGGAGAACTGTGGGTTTATAAGTTGCAGTTCGAGATTGGGAAATCATAGAATCATAGAGTCAAATACTCCCAAACAAATAGCTGAACTGACTAGGAGCAAAGGAAGCTAACAAGGAGTGGAGTAGCAGCCATTATGGATTTTTCAGATACAAACAGCATTCACATCCGTTCAGTTTTCTCTACCAGAGTAACACACTGTGTGGATAAGAAAAATAAACTGTATGCTTTGCGACAGCTTTTGACCATGATCATAGTATATATCCATGAACATGTAAGGGAGCACATGTTAATTGAAATTGTTTGGAGTAGCTGCAGGAACAGGTTGAAAAAGTTACCACAATTCACTGTCAAATGGAAGTTTTGATATTTTTTTTTCTGGGTTTCGTCAGTATTTTCATTTATATTATGAATAAGGGAACATAAGTTTGCAGTCATACAGTGAAGCAAGAATGCTAAAAACATTCAAAATGCTGCAAGGATAGAAAATAAATTGGTTTTGGGGAGAGAAACAGGCACATTTGTTAAGAACAAATGCAAAATGCTGCATTCAGGGATAACCAAGTATATAGTGGAAAAAGGATTATAGACAGTTAAATAATAGTCCTTTAGAAGAAGTGCTTACTGTGAAAGGTAAATTGAACATGGCCAAAGTGCTGCGACCAGTCATCAGATTATGAAATTTTAGTGGTGAGAATTTCTCTATGGTTGTATTCCTACTAATTCCTTTGTATATATGTGTATGTATTCTGTGTAGCAGTTTTCACATTGGTGACAAATTCAGAAGAAACTACATTAGATAAATACTGATCCATTTGTCTTGTGACGTGGCATGCCTGTGTTGTAACCTCTGTTGAGCTCTTCTCTGTCTTCCCTCAGTTCCCAATTCAGCACACAATGGTTTTGAAGGAACCATTCAGCGATCGCACCGGCCTTCATATGAAGACAAAGTTTGCTTTATAGCCACAGTTAGATTAGCTACACCTCAATTTATCAAGGTATGTACATTTCTGTCGTATCACCTTTATATTATTTTAACCGTACTCTGAACAGGAAAACTTTAGAGAAAATGCATATAGCACTTCAGATATTATTGATGAAAGTCATAAGGGATTCTGTCATATGAAACTGAAAATATCTGTGTTTCTTACTATGGGGTACTGTTGCAAGCTCCTGCAGTAGCTGAAGTAGAGATTTAGAGTACTCTATCCTGTTTGTAGAGCTGCAGTAAGGTGACCATCTTCCTACTGGGACTTCTTACCCGTTATAAACACGTACAGCTTGTATTACTGTGCTTGTAGATGCTGAGCATGAGTGTACTAGCTGCATTTAAATCAGCTGAGTTTGAGCCTAGCATAACTGACATTAGATTCTACCACAGTGCTATGCATCTAGCCAAAAATCTCAGTGAAATTTACAAATCTTATACTTGTTGTGAAGTTATCCACTAACTTCAGGTAAGCCTGAATTTAAGAAAAGCTTGTGAATTAGAATAGAGCAGTTATGAAAGAGATGATTTTTTTTTCACTTTTTAGGAAATGTGCACTGTTGAAGAACCCAATGAAGAGTTCACATCTAGACATAGCTTAGAATGGAAGTTCCTATTCTTGGATCACAGGTGCTGCAATTCTTTCTATATATAGCAGCAATAGTAGCTGAATCACTTTTAATGGCTATAATATGTAGAGTTCACTAATCAGTATTAATTAATCATAGCTTATGTTGGGTTTAATTTATTTTTCTGAGAAAAATGAAAAATAAAAAATGCAAATGCAAAAAAAGATGCAAAAATGTATATAATGATTTTTTTTCTTGTGACAAGAAAATGACTGTAAATTTTCTATTAAATTAGGGCACCTCCAATAATAGGCTATCTTCCATTTGAAGTTTTGGGAACGTCAGGCTATGATTATTATCATGTGGATGATCTAGATAATCTGGCAAAATGTCATGAGCATTGTGAGTATGACCAAGTTGCTAAATTGAGTTAATTTGCTTTGTAGATGTTCAGTTTAAAGTTTGTTAAGTGAAGGTTTGAGTGAAGTTTTCTTGTATTTACGAGTGCAGTTTCCCTACTCCTATTCATTTGATGATATCATACTACTGATATTGATATTTTTCTTTTGGTACTGAACTGGAAAACAGATTCAACTTTTAATTTAGATTTTTTGTTGTGGTGAATGGGAGCGCACAGCACCTTGATTAATACTTCTCCCGTTCTTCTAATAGCATTTAAAAGTCTCTGTGACGTTTAATAAATACAAAAACTGTCTAGGCATGTGATAGAAAAAATTTTCTGTTTAGCTATGATTTTCTTCAATTTTTTTGCATATGAGTATTTCACTGTATATAAAAGCTCTACAAAAATGGTAAATTGAATTTTGCATTTCTCAGACAAGTGCAGATTCTTTCTGGTAGAAAACTACAATTTTGATTCTCAGCCTTAGTATCAGATTGAACATGAGCTCAGTTGGGAGTTGGGAAGAAGAGTTGGGAAATAATGCTCATTATATAATTTAAGTATTTATAGACTGGAAAGACAGTAAAATTTATTCCTCACTTTTACAGTAATGCAATACGGGAAAGGGAAGTCATGTTATTACAGATTCCTTACAAAGGGACAGCAATGGATTTGGCTGCAGACACATTACTATATCACATATCACCAGTGGAATTCCAGGCCAGAGTTTATTGTATGTACGCACACAGTTGTAAGGTAAGTTTTCCTTGCTAAATCCATGTTAGAGATATTTAGATTACATGGGAGCTGTATGGCTAGTTAGTATTTTTTGAGATAGAAAATAATAAATAGTAAAGAATTACCGGAAAACTTCCAGTGGTACTTTGTAAGGAAGATACTTTGGAGGAGTTTGTTTTCTGAGATATGTTTTTAAAATCATCTGGGAATTAAGCAGTCGTATTGGGTTTGTTCTTCTAGTTATGCAGAAGTCAGAGCAGAAAGGCGGCGAGAGCTTGGTATTGAGGAGTCTCTTCCAGAGATAAAAGCAGATAAAGTAAGTAACAAACATTTTGTTTCACTTCATTTCATAGCAATAATAACATGTAGTAAATACTTAGCAGCAAGAGTTATTTGTCCTTTTAAAGTAATTATTTCAATCGTTAAATAGTATGTCTATTTGAAGTTCATAGTTTATGATAGTATGTATTATATAATAGTATAATATTCATAGTTTGTAATAGTATGTCTATTCGAAGTCATAAAGGAAGTTTAGGAAGGATATTTAACTGTTATTCCACTCCTCCTCTTCTCAGCAGTTTATATACCTGTAATTATAGCATGTCAATTTCCCTAAGTCCCTACTACGATCTGATTTCTGCAGTTAGGTTCATACATAAATATTCTTCCTTCCTGGAAGGATCTGTAACTTGGAAGAACAAGGTCAGCACACAAAGGTGACGTAAAGGAATTCACAAGAAAGTAGGAATTGTTTCCTTATGTGACTCTCTTCTACTTCTTAGATGTATGCAGGATTCATTTTAATTGAACATCCCTGGAAGCTCAGCAAGTCTTAGTTGAGCCAGCTTGTACAGATACTCCATGGAGTTTTTCCCTTGGCAGTTTAGAAAGTTTCATCTGGCAGTGCTCCTTCTAGTGGAATTAACTTTTCTTTCTTCAAAAGAATAAGCAGTTCACTCCTAACACAGGTGTTCAGACTTAACTGAATTGCTAGAGAAGCAGGTCAGCTCAGCAGTCAATTTGTGACATGTCTGCATGCATTTTGTTTTCTAGGCTTCTATGGCTTTGTTTTGTTATAAAAATTGTTATAAAAGAGTAGAAGTTACAGATGCAAAGCAGGACGCTACTTCTGTGCAGTTAGCAATGAAAGGGGTTGATGAGCTGCTGTGTGGCCTCAGATACTTTCTTACTGAAATGTACAATGTGGGCTGAATCTGATAAAATAGCTGTTGTTTCTGTGTGTCTCTTCAGAGTCAAGACTCTGGATCTGATAATCACATAAACACAGTGAGCCTCAAAGAAGCTCTGGAAAGATTTGATACCAGCCCCACACCTTCCGCTTCCTCCAGGAGTTCAAGAAAATCTTCACATACTGCAGTATCAGATCATTCATGTAAGCATCAACTATTGAATATATAATTTTCTTCTTAACGAAGACTTTCTCTGCTTTACTTAATGAAATCCATCTCTAGCAGTTAATCATCATTTTATTAAGAGTGTGCAGATCAGAATGTCCTTTATGATGGGTCACAGATACTCTAAGATTTCCCACTAAGATTTTCAGACGCTGTGTAATGGTTTCTGCTTCTACAACTGCAGTAGCAGCCCCTATACTGCCCTGTTTCAGTCCATCAGATTGCATTATTGTTGGATATGCAAGGAAAGAAAGAAAAAAAAAAAAAAAAAAGAGTCCAAGTCCAAGCCTTAAGCTTTTTCTATTCTGGAAGATCTTCCTATGATTTGAATATTGCATTGCAGAATTGAGATTACTATTAATACGTTTCATCTTCTTGTAACAACTTTGTCAGCGACACCAACTAAAATGACAGTGGACACTAGCACTCCCCCAAGACAAAGCTTATCTGCTCATGAAAAGTCTACACAAAGAAGATCATCTCTGAGTAGTCAGGTAACTCTTTGAAGAAACATTTTTATACTTAAATCAGTGCATTTTTCCTTTAAAATGTGTTATTAAATTCATGTGACCTTCATTCTATTTCCTCTGAGAACACAACATTTAAACTATAAGACTTTTACTTGGGATATTTGGCTATCATTTCTATGTACCTTCAGTATACTACATTTTAAGGGAATGCAATAATTGAGCATGTAGGTATTTATGTTTTGGGCTTCAGAATTCATAGGAATTGTATCTGAGTCTGTGCTTTCACTCACACATAACTTCTTTATATGATTCTGCATTTTATTTGTATCTGTGTGTGTGTATAAAACTATATAATAATTGCCAACATAATGCTGTGTGTCCCTATAGGTTATTTATATAGGCTTATACCTCTGAGAATATCAGCAAATACTATAATATGGTTTCTGAAATCTTAATAACGTGACAAAATACAGTGCTTCGTGTGCTTAGTGCTCATATTGCACTATATATATATGAACTAACACATTTACTACAAAAATAGAATGGTGTATCAAATTATGTATTCTGCTAATATGCTGAGTATTAGTTTAAGAACAGAAGTGTCAACTTCCAAACTTGTTGGAAAGTTTTTGCCCTTATTGTGAAAAAGAATTTTACAGCAGCCTTGTTTTTCCTGTTTTATACCTGCTGCTTCTTATATATTTTTATCAGGGAAGCAATTATATAGAGATTATGTATATTACAATATTTTTGTGTGTGTTCTTAATTCTTTAATATTTAGGCTTAGGCATTTCAAGAAATACACTTGTTTTTTTCATATATTCACGTGATGCCATTTTGGAATTGAATTTGTGTAAGGAAATATTTCATGTCAAGTATGAAGTCCATTCTCTTCTAGTTATGGAACAATTTTTTTTTTAAATCCTAGTCTTTAAGCTCCCAGTCTCTTGGACAACCAGTAACACAGCCAGCGATGTCTCAGCCTGCTGCTTTACAGCTCCAGTCCAGCATGTCCCAGGTATGGATTAAGTTGGTTTGCTAAGTTGTTTTATTATTTCTTTAACAGTCTTGATCTGACTATAAAGTTAATTTCTCTTTCAAAAACTGAGTTCTTAGATGTCAAAGTTGCCTTCAGTGTTTTTCTCAAAATGATCCAATTTCTGTTTGACAGAACAGTACCATGTGAATTACTAAAGTTTTTATAGGGTCTTAGTGATTTGAGTGCCAATCAATTTCTTTTGCTGTGATTTGTTTTGTTTTGTTCTAAGCACACTAATTCTGATGCGTCAGTTAAATGTGTAGACGTGAAGTCTGTGACATTTTTGTACTGATGATTTTGTCCTTGGTTGATGACTACTAGCAGTTTAAAAATCAGTGCCTGATTTCTTCGCTAGTCTGGAGGAGTGTATTTACTACTTGTGAATTAAATGTGATTATTTTTGCTCAGCTTATAATTTATACATGGCACTACAGCCTGTCTTTCAGTTTTCAGCTCAATTAGGAGCTATGCAGCACCTGAAGGACCAGCTGGAGCAGAGAACACGCATGATAGAGGCAAATATTCATCGGCAGCAAGAAGAGTTGCGGAAAATTCAAGAACAGCTTCAGATTGTCCACGGTCAAGGACTTCAGGTGAGTAAGTGTAACTCATACACATTTGATCTGTAGAGAATTTAGAGATCTGAAATGAGATTTAGGCACTTCATTCCAAAATGGGATTCTCTGTACTCCTTGTCAGCTGTCTTCTGGATTTTGTGTGCCCAAAATTCGTAGAACTAATGTTACTGTTCTTGAGGTATTTATAATTTTGCTTCTGAATGTATCTAGTTGTGCCCCTATATATTCATTCAATGTTGAGTGACTTGTGCTACCTAAATGTAAATGAATGTGTTGTAGTGTTTATTACTTCTTGAATTAGAATATTCATTCTAAATGTGGAAAATGAATATTTATTTCCCCTTTTAGCTCAGGGGTGTAAAAATCATGCCTCTTGGATAAATACATACCTCTTAGAAGATTGTCCCAACTATCAGGCTTACAGCCTCTAACAAACTCTTCTTGTGAGGTGGTTATACACTGTGTGGCATTCTGAAGTAGTTATTCAGCCACAAAGACAGGAAGTCTAGAGGACTAGAGGGAATGGCCTCAAGTTGTGCTGGGGAAGATTCAGTCTGAAGGTTACACAATTTACACAATGCTACTTTTCTGAAAGAGTGGTCAGGCACTGGAATGGGCTCTCCAGGGAGGTGGTGCAGTCACCAACCCCAGAGGTGTTCAAAGAATGTTTAGACATTGTCTTGAGGGATGTGGTTTAGTGAGAGCTGTTGGCGATAGGTGGGCAGTTGGACTAGATGATCTTGTAGGTCTTCTGCAGCCTCGGTGATTCCATGATTCTATGCATTACCCAGTCTAGCAGCTGAGAGTAACAAAGACCTGACTGCCTGACTTCTGTATTTTAACCAATATATGTATTTGATGGATTTTTAATGTTGTAATTCTGTTTTCAGCATCTATATTGGGAAGAAAAGAATGATTTGATATGATAAGAATGATATTGATTGGACTTTTCTAGCTTAATTAAAAAATGCCAAAGCAAACAAACAGAAAACTGAAGTACATCATAAGAAAGAATCTTAATATTTTCAGCGTGCACTGTGAATAAAGAGTAAAACAATCTATACTTTCTGGAAGTATTGAGTACGTTGCTTAAATTCTGTTGTGGAATAAGAATTTCTAGCATGTGCTTTTTTGTGTTTCACTGTTGATCTCACGTAAGCCTTCCAGCAGTAGATTGCTTGGGAGGTGCTTGGAAGGAGAGATTCACAGCTATCATCCCATGCACTGCAAGGGGACCTTATTTAGGACTATGGAAAGTAGAATACAAAATTGAAGTGCTGCACATTCTACATTATTACACTGAGTCATTGTAGTTTTTAGTCTAACATTTTGTAAAGACTCAAAATCCTTTCATGGTAAATTCAGTTTATTGAAATGAGGTAATATTGGAAAATACAGTATAACCAGTGTGGTTTTGTAATTGCCAAGGAAGCACTTTCTTGGTGCTATGGCTATATCAACTGATACTGAGATTTTTAATTAGTTTCACTTCTAGAGGCTCGACAAGTGGAAGCAAGATCTCGAAAGAATTTAATCTTTAGATAGTTATAGCCTACATTGTAAGTAATATTTACAAATATTGCTTCTAATTTAAAACCAGATACTAAGCGTCAGTGTTAAGGGCTTTAAAATTCAGGATTCTCATTCTTAGCTGTTAGAGTCTCTGAATACAGATCCTATATGGGACTTAGCCCTTCGCTCTTGGTAATTGCAGTGCTGTTTGGACATCTAATAGCTGGAATGAAGCTTTATCTTGTATTAATATCATAAGAAATTAATTTTAGTTTTTGTATAAGATATTGAATAATTAACAGAGTTTTCATAAGAACTAATTTTAGGATTTTTTTTAAGATGTTCTTGCAGCAGTCAACTTCTGGACTAAACTTCAGTTCTGTGCAACTTACATCCGGAAATTCTTCAAGCGTTCAGCAACTTGCACCAGCAAACATGCAAGGTCAGGTTGTTCAAACTAATCAGACTCAAAGTGGGATGAACACAGGGCATACAAGTACACCACATATGATCCAGCAACAGCCTTTGCAGAGCTCTGCGTCACAGGTAAAATTCTGACTAGTGAGAAATGCAATAATAGCTTTCCTGACGTCTCCCCCTCCAAATTTTTTGTGACTGTCCTTCAAATCAAGTTTATTCCTTGTTCAAAGTTTTACAATTGAAATGTACTTATATTCTTGCTAATGCAATTTCACACCTTGCTTTAGTTTTAAAACTTAGAAATGTAAATAATTACAAGTATAAATAATTACAATTTACAAATGGAAATAATTCCAAATGCTTTTTGGAAAAACCAATATACAGAAAACAGCTTGCCTTTTTGTGCATTTTTATGAATTTTCTGCTGACAGAACGTACAGCATGAGAACATTGGTACTAATTGAGGTTGAAATCCAGACACTGATCTCTACAGTAAATGCCTAGAAGAACATAAGAACAGGAAAATCATATATTGATGATTCTGAAGTTGACTTTTTTGCTCCTCAGCAATTTCAATCAGATGCCATAACTGATACCTTTTGCATTTTAAATGCCTTTGATGGATTTTTCTTCTATGAGTTTATCCAGTTTGTTTTGACTGCATCTAAACTTCTGAAATACAGAGTATCTTGCAGTGAGTTCTACAGCTTTAGCTGCTGTGAAATTTGTTGTTTGTTTTTTAAACCTGCCACCTAGCTTTTATACTGGGAAATACACTGAATAGTTACTTTTCATCTTCACCATGCATAATTTTGGAGTCTTCTGTTGTATGCATATAAGTCTTTTTCTCAAGCTGAGGAGTTTTAATGTGCTTGACAGTTTTATAGAGAGGCTGCTTATAATTGTGATCTCTGTGGTCAATCCTCCTCTTTCCTTTTTTCCAAATCCCATACTACTTTTTAAAATCTGTGATGAGACAGAGTAATGGTGGACAGTTTATCACTTTAGCATTAAGTTAGTTCCAGACTTTGAGGTATGAAATTGATTGAGGTAATGTGCGTGTTTTAATGTGGCACAGAGATGCTAAAGGAATGGAAGACAGGATCTTGAACAAACAGTATGCAAGCAGATGAAATATTAAGGAAAAAGATATTCTGAAGAGGAGAAGAGATTAAGAGATTTTCAGATGCCCTAGAGCCAGTCACACCTCCAAATCCTCAATTGATAGGAAATACCTGTCTGCTTTAAAGTAAGAATTCATTTGTAATAGAAAAACATTAGCGGTTGTAAAGCATGGGTAATTACATTGAGGAAGATGACTGTAGTAGCTGGCTGTTTTCAAGTGACTGATTCATTACCTATTCTTCCTTTACAGCATAATCAACAAAACGTACTTAGTGGGCACGGTCAACAATCTTCTCTTGCCAGTCAGTCACAGAACACAGTCTCAACACCTCTGTATAACACTATGGTGATTTCTCAGCCAACAACCGGCAATGTGGTTCAGGTTCCTTCTAGCTTACCACAGAACAATAACCAGAATGCTGCTGCAGTAACTACTTTTACACAAGATAGACAAATCAGGTAAGTTTTCAAGACCACATTGGGATGACTTGTAGCTATGTAACCACAGCATTTATGATATCATGTATGGAAAAGTAGCATAAAACCCATATTATTTGTTACTGTAATCACACAGCTGTTTAGGTAAACTTTACCCAAGACAGTGCGTTCATAGGCTTATCATAATCAGTAGTGTTACAACAGGGTATGAGCCTGACAAAGCTGCATTTGTCAAAAGCACCTAAGGCTTGATGCATCTTTCCTAAAGTGATGCCAAATGTCTTCTTCTGTTGACAGATTTTCTCAAGGTCAGCAGCTTGTAACAAAACTTGTCACAGCCCCAGTAGCGTGTGGAGCGGTAATGGTACCAAGTACTATGTTTATGGGACAGGTGGTGACAGCTTATCCTACTTTTGCTGCCCAACAGCAGCAGCCACAGACTTTGCCAGTAACACAGCAACAGCAGCAGCAGCAGCAAAGTCAGCAAGACCAGCAGCAGCAGCAGCAGCTCACTGCAGTTCAACAACCAGCTCAGCCGCAGCTGACCCAGCACCCGCAACAGTTCCTACAGGTAGTGTAGCATTCTCTAAAAATTTGTCAGTCCTTTCAGCATGCTTATTGTAGGATTATCTTAAAATACTTGGGCTGCCATGAAAGTAATGTACTTGTATTTATTTCCATGGAAACTACAACTGATACAGAGAACAACACAGTAACACTATTTGATTGAGCAAGCTGTCAGCTACAAAACAGTTTTTTGACATAGTCTGTACCATTATCTATGCATTTTCACCAGCAATGGACAAGAGCCTGAATGCTATGATTGTAAAAGTCCGTACTGACAGAGATGACCCGCTGTTTCATAGCTGCTATAATGATATTGTTGCTAGAAAGATGTTGCCCACGCAGTCCATCTTTCCTTGGTGCAAACAGATGGAAGTCAGAAGGTTGCAATCCAGACTATATGGTGGTTATGGTAGAACAGTCCAGTTAAGACTGGCTGTGTGTTCCATGGTCTTTGAGCTGATGTGGGACCAGAGATTACTGTGTTGCAAGAGAAAGATTGTCTTCTTCTCTAGCCTTACTCTGCTGGTTTGGGTCTTCAGCTTAGTCAGCATTGTGTTCCATCACTCAGAGTTGATGGTTTGTCCAACTTCCAGGAAATCCAGGATTGCACTGTTCTTATCCTAAAAGTTAGTGCACATCACTTTACCTGCTGAGGGCTGTGTCTGGAACTTCTTCTTCAGTGGGAAATTCATGCATCACCATTCTGTGGACTGTCATTTTAACTCCAGCTCATAGCAGTGACACCACGTCTCATCACTGCTTAATGGTGCAATCCAGTAAACTGTCACCTGCAGCATCATATTGGTTCAGTAGGTCCTGACAAGCTTGCATAAGGTGCTCTTTCTGTTCCTATGTGAGCATTTGTGGGACACATCTGGTGCAAACCTTGCAATATTCTAGCATTGCCACCATCATTTCCAACGCAATGAAGCTGAACTTCAGCTCTGCACACAGTTCCCTGGTCATAATCTGCTGATTCTTGTGGTGAGCTGATCAAGATGCTCTTCATTTCATGGTGTGACAGCTAGTGGCCATCTAGAATGACCACTAAGGTCATTTAGTCTAGTGCCAACCCATCATCCCATACCCGCTCTAACCATGCCCCTCATTGCCACATGGACATATTTCTTGAACACCCCTAGGGATAGTGACTCCACCACCTCCCTGAGCAGCTTGTTGAACAAACTTTTGTACTATGTGCAGTCTCCCTTTTTCAATAAAAGAGGTTTCCTGGATAAAGGTGGAATTTCTACAATGGAGTAAGTAGCTGGAAACTCAATCTAAGTTTATATGGACAAGGAATAGTTAAGATTCCATTTATGGATGAGTAAAATTTTCTTTACCTGGGCCAGTGGCAGAAAATAGTAGCTTGTTAAAAAGAAGGAAATGGAATTTCCATAAGAAATAGAATTTTCCATAAGAAAATGGAATTTTAGCCATTCATCAGCAAAGGCTTTTTGACTGCAAGCTGAAATCTCTGATCAAAAAGAGAACTGAAGAATACCTAGTTATTTGAATTTCAGCACTCATTCATGCTGTTTAGCAGGTAGGTAGTGCCTGTCCCTACTTTTATGCAGTTTTGCCTTCATTCTTTTGAAAACAAGGTTTGTGAAAGATAAAAATCTTCAATGGTCTGTTCCTGTCCTGGCATTTCTTTCTAGGCAACAGTTTATGGTTTTTAATATAAACTGGTCAGCCCTCTCTCTCTGTTGAAGTGCTAGAATTTGAAGAAAAGCACGTGGTTTGTTGTTGTTTGCTTTTTTTTTCCCTCTCTTTAAAGAAGAGAGAAAAGGAGGCTTTTCCTGCTTGTGTTCATAGAATAGAATAGAATAGGACAGAACAGAACAGAACAGAACAGTTTGGATTGGAAAGGACCTCAAAGATCATCAAGTTCCAAACCCCCTGCCACAGGCAGGACCACCAAACTTCCAGATCTGGTACTAGATCAGGTTGCCTAGAGCCTGATCCAGCCTGGTGTTAAACACCTCCAGGGACGGAGCATCCACAGCCTCTCTGGGCAGCCTCTTCCAGCAACTCACCACCCTCTCAGTAAAAAACTTCCCCGATATCTAATCCAAATCTTCCCTCCTTCAGTTTACAACTAGTCCCCTGTGTCCTGTCACTTCCTACCCATGTAAAAAGTTGATTTGCCTCATGTTGATGATCTCCTTCTCACAGTCTGATTCTGCAGGTGAGACAGTGATGTAGTTGTTCTGGATTGAGATGTCCAGCCTGAATCTACGGCAGGGGAGATTCAGGCTGGACATGAGGAAGTATTACTTTTCAGAAAGGGTGGTCAGGCACTGGAATGGACTGCCCAGGGAGGTGGTGGAATCACCGACCCTGGGGGTGTTCAAGGAAAGGCTGGATGTTGTGTTGAGGGACATGGTTTAGTAGGAGCTATTGGGAATAGGTGAACGGTTGGACTGGGTGATCTTTTAGGTCTTTTCCAACCTTAGTGATTCTATGATTCTATGATTGTATGATTCTGTGTCCAATTCCTTTTGTACCCGTCCTTCACTGCTTTTTCTTCAGCACCATCATCTTTTGTTTCTAAGAAGAGCGACATTAAAAATAAGTGTTACTTGCAGTAATGATTAATCCCCTTCAAAGGAGATGTTTGGGTCTGCAAAAGCGGCAGCTTCCTTGGTTTTCTTCCTTAGATTTTTATCCAGGGATAAATTTGATCTGTGCCAAGTCATGCTTTGGTATGCCAAGGCACTGCTTTCTATGTGACTGCAGTAACAGATGTATATGGTTAAAATAGATTCCTTAAGCCCCGTTATGCTCTTGTGTTCTGAAATGGGGACAAATTGCCATGTGCTGTACCCATTGTCACAGGAAATCGCAAAGACCAGCTGCTTTATCAAATGCTCTAAGTATCTCCATTAAAGCCAACTAATCTTTGTGGTGTTGGTTCAGCTTCAGTGACCAAATCAGAAGTTTATTTTGACTGAATTCTTCCACAAAGTCAAAAAGCAGCCAGGCCTGCAGTTCTCAGAGCAGCAGAAAACATGATTTTCTTCTGTTTGCATGTTTTAGACATCCAGGTTACTTCACGGGAATCAGTCAGCTCAGCTTATCCTCTCTGCTGCTTTCCCACTACAGCAAAGCACTTTTACTCAGTCCCACCACCAGCAGCACCAATCGCAGCAGCAGCTCTCACGGCACAGAACTGACAAGATGACGGATCCTTCCAAAGCGCAGCCGCAGTAGCTGGGGGCTCTGCCTCTCCTGGAAGTCAGCTACCAGGAGGGGGCTGCTCCATAACCACTCGCACTGAAGTTGCAGAGGTAGCAGTACAAAGCCTTTCTAACGCTGCGGTGTTGAGACCTACAGCTAACTTCTGGAATCTGTTGAGGAAAACCACCAGGTGATGGCAGGGACGCGGCCAACTTTGATCGTTGTCCCGGTTTCTGTGCTCTAAAAGGTTTGCTGCCATGTGTCGATTTGTCCAGGTGAAATCAAAAAATGTGACTGAAATGAGAGGGATGCTGAAAATATTGGTATTTTTTATCAGTTCTGTACATTTTTAAAGTATTAAAATGGACACAGAGCAATTGTTTGATTTAGGAGACAAAATGCCAGGAATATAGTCCGACAAACATCTAATTTTTTCAGATGATTATGGGACAGTAAATATTTTGAAAATGTTGTGTGAAATCCAGTTCTCTGTTGTACAGATGCTGTAAAATATTGTGTATATGTCTGCATAAAAGGAGAAAGAGCAAAATATTTTATATGATGCATGAAATGTAATCTGTTATTTGTAGGTTTGAATATGTTCCCCTAAATTTTCACGCCATACTCAGACTGACGTTTTCCTTTGTTCTGCCCCTTTGTTTACAACATGCTGCATCGTTACTTTCACCCTCAGTGTGGGCACAAGTCTCTCGTTTGTGCTTGGTGGTGTCACAGTCTGCTCTGTGAGGTATGGTGTGTTGGTTCGTTGACTTCTCGAGGTTAAATTATGGATGAAGCCGTTTGAACTGGTGGTCGTGCATCAGGGTTCAGGGTGTTCAGATTCATGAGTATCATCCATCGTTTCATACCTAATTCATTTTATTTGAAAAAAAAACAAAAAACAAAAAATAGGAATTTGCACTGCTTCCTTGCGGATGGTTTGGAATTTTATTCCCCAAAGCTATCTTTTGATATAGTTCATAGTTGGGAAATATTTATGTAAAATGTTAAAAAAAAAAAAAAGAAAAAAAAAGAAAAAAAAAAAGACGGTAATTTTCAAGAATGTTTCAGTTATAGGAGTAATTTGCACAAAAAATATATTTACATTTAATAACCTTTTGGGCACTTTTTAACCACTTTCTCTGTGGTGAGAATTGTAACTTGTTAAAATATGTTGGAATCTTTTTATTCTCATTCAAAAATTAGATCTTTCTTTAGTCAGAACTAATTCAGGGTCATTTTAACAACGACAGAAAAACCCATAGTGCCTTGATTTTAATTCAGGTGATAATGTTGAACATCTTGACTTGCAGTGTCTCGAATCTGTAACCATTCTCGATTTTGAAGTCTTAGTACATTGTCAGCCAAACTCGTGTATCTACTTCATAGCTGTTTCTGCATCGTGATCATCTCAATAACGATCTGAGTTGAGAACGTGAGCGTTTTTGAGTGCTGCTCCCCCTCAAACACTAAGTCAGAAACTGAGGAGTCTCTGCAATCTCAGACTTTGAAGGTATTGTTCTTGAAGATGTAAAAACAGAGAGTGCTCCTTCAGTGGGAGCAGGGAGGGTAACCTGATCTGAAATAATAAGAGTCAAAAATCATTTTTGTAGTGTTTAGAGTTATGTCTTGGGGGAGACCACGGTCGATTGAGGAGATATCACTGAACTAAGACTTCAGAAGGCAACTTCACTTTATAAAGAAAATAAAAAGTTCCAACAGATACGATGTGCTATTTTAGGTAGGGTTTTATGGTACTAGTTTGTGAAAACCACAACTTTAGAGGAAAATAAATAAACACAGATAGATCTGAGAATTAAAATAAAACAGCAAAAGCAGTTAAAATTAGTAGTAGGGAGAGAAAGCTGGATTAATCTTGAATACTGAGGAGGAGTTGAATGAATGTAACCAAATGGTGACGGACTGTTTTGTTCTCTGGAACAGTTTGATTGTATTACTGGGTGAGCCAAACCCACAGGAGGGTGGCACCAGTTCAGCGAGCGCCCCATGCCATCGATGGCATTTTGGGGCTGGTCTTTGCCTCTCCAGGTGTCCCACCATTGCATCTTTGTTGTTCCCCACTTACAAAGCAAGAGTTTGGTACCAAAAAGCACAGTTGTGAACAAGGAAGGAGTGTGAGAAATAGTTACCAAAGAGAGTTAGATTGCGCTCTGCTCCAGGAGGCCTCTCGCAGCAAGGAGCAGGTGCCAGTGCCAGACATTGCAAGGACAAATTCCCTTCTCTAAAAGGATTTCTGCCATTCTCTGAGCTGGGATAAGGGTCAGAAGCCTACTGCTGGTAGAGCTCTGTGTAACAAAGTTTGCCTTGCTCTGCTCTGCTGCTGCATCATCCACCTGTTTCTAAAATAAGCTGTGTTACCAGAGGTCTGTGCTAGCAGCACTGCTGCTTAATGGAAGTAGGTTAGAGAAAAAATGTTACCCGTTTACGGTGATAACAGCACTAAAAAAGAAACCTGGGAGAGCTTTAATAGTGCTGTTAGAACTACGGAATAGTGGTAAAATAGTTTTATTAAGCTATTATACTGAGAATTACAAAAAACAGAGATAACAGCCAGCCAGTTAATGATGCAGCTTTTTATATGAAGCTCCATTTAAACTTCTCTTCCCATTCCCCCCCTCCCCGATACTCTCTTGTGCTGCTATAGGTCTGTTGGTAAAACGCTGAACTAGGTGAGAGAAAATAGATGACAGTGATAGCAGGGCTGCTGAAAGAGAATAAAGAAATGTACGCTTTGATCAAGAAGCTTTTTGTAACCTCGGAGAGAGCTCATTCAATTACGGAGCTACCAGCCAGTAGACAAAGCATGGAAGGTGGGGAGATTCACAGAAACTGGAAAAACACAGCATCCATTTGAAATATACTTACCGTGAATCAGGCAGACTTTATACAGAAGTACGTAGAACTCGTTCCGTGTTCTGTGCAAGGACGCAAATGCTTTGTTTCACAGCTGCTGACTCAAAGGTGTGTATTTCAGGTGTCTGCGGCTTCCCCCTTGCTGAATCAGTTGCTGAGCTGCTCTTGATTTTAGTGGGAAGAGGACCAGGCTGTCGCCTCTTTCTTAATCAGCCTTTTGCTTCTGACTGACTTATTTACTACAGTCATAGATTTTTTGCAACATCCTAATCAATAGCATGATAAGGAATGCTGCGATGCTGCAGGGTCTGGGGTGCAGACGTCACAGAATGACTCTGACAGAAGGGAAGGAATCTGTTAAGGAGAGGGTTGTATTTGTGAAGGCGCAGTCTGGTGGTATGGAACGGCGTGAAACAGAGTTGCATGGAGTTTAGAAGACAGACATTGTTTGCCAGCGATGGGTGAGGATTTGAAGAAAAGCTTCTAGGAAAATTACAGAGAAAAAGAATATATAGCTATTTTTATATTATATTTAATATATATTTGTATATAAATATGAAAAGATTCTAGTAGGAGCTCTCCATATGCCTTCCATTTCATCTAGAAGATTTACCTTCTGCACTATGGTTCCGGTGTGTCGCCACTTGTGTGGGCATCCTGCCTGCTGCCAAACACCAAAATCAGTAACCCAGTATCCTTACAACATACAGGTAGGTTTCATTTCAGCTTTATGTAAAAAATTAATTAAAAGAAAGCTATATCAGACAGTTTTTCATGGAAAAAGAAATTCTCTTTAAGATTCAAATAGCACTTTCTATCTTTTATTTTATTTTTATTTTTTGGAGTAATAAGAAGCACTTTACTGAAAAGACTATTTGAAAACCAGTTTATTTCTTTAGTCAGTGAAACTGTTAAGGGGGGGGGCATCAAGGAATGATGTGTAAAACTGTCAGAAACATTTCTGGAAAATGTTTCTTTAATACAGTGATCCTTTGAGGCTCAAAGTGCAAGATGAAAAAGGCTTCTAGAACTGATTGGCTTCATTGGTTTTACATGGCGTGGGGAAAGGTTGAACGGTTATGGCTTCCTAGGGAGGAGACCTTTTACGTTGCACAGTTGCCTATGAGAGACTCATCTGGAGGCCCACCTACCTGCTCAGTAATTCTAAGTGTCCCTTAGGATTATAACGTGTGTGACAGTGTACCGCAGGGTTAAAGATGTGGCCTTTGGCAGATGTTGAAATCAATTCAGAAACCACGCATACGTTCACAGAATTTAACCCGGGTATTGTGATGGGTTGTAGATGTCACGGCGTCAGGAGACGTCGGACGTCGCAGTCATGAATTTCTCTATTTGAAATCATTATTAAAATTAGATGTGCAGTCAGAGGACTGGAAAAAAATGGTTATTTTGATTAAAAGGAGAGAGACTAGTTTTAATAATTTTTATTTTTTTACTTATCCCTGGTGGAAAAAGTTGAAGAGTGAAATGAATTTGGATTTAAAAAAGACGTATTTAAGCCAATTAGAGTAGGTGAGACAGCTGTGAGTGAACATTTGAAATTGTGGTTGTCCTGAGACTGGATGGTTGCTTTTTCAATATCACAATTTGTAACACTACATTCCTTGTCTTTTTTTTTTTTTAGCCAGGTGATTTAAGCTCTGTTATACTTCATGCTGCGTCATCTGCATGAATTGTGCCAGCATGATATGCTCTACTCAAAGAAATTGTACCTAAATAAAAAGGAGGGAAAAACAAAAACAAAAACACAAAACAAAACACTGTGTCTGAACAAAATACTGTGTGGCCTATACAGAGACCCTAGCTATGACTGAGAGATGCTGCATTAACAGACAATCAATGGGTAAATTATTTATGAAACACTTTCGGGAATGGTCTTAAAGGTGTTACTGCTTTGAAAGCAGCTGGTGAGTCGTGTTTTCAAAGAAGGAAGGTAAAAACTATTTATTTTAAAATACATTGGATTGAATGTTGAGTTTTTAAGCAGTGTTGATTTCACAGTGTCTCGGGTTCCAGTTTTGTTTTGTATTTTTTGAACTGGCATTAGCTGTGTATTTGTTCACCAACAGCCCCTAATGCCGCTCATATTGATGTCAGGAAATGTAGATACAGTTCCCTGGTGTTCGTGTGACCATTACTAACTGTCAATTTTTTTTTTTTTTTTTAATTGAATAAATGTAACGTTTAAAATTTTGCTTTTTGTAGCTTCTAAGGTTCTAGAATTATTTTTTTTCCTGAGTTCCTTAATGTCACTTTGATGAGTTTCACAGTGAAGTGCTCTCATACCCGTTCCACAGATGTAACAAAGGCACTCTCTACCCCCCAACAACTGACGTGTGAGAAGTTGCGTGATGTCGATTTTACCTTCTCTCCCTCCCAAGAGAAATGACTTGTGAGACTTCAGTAAAAACGCATACTGTACTCCTTTCTTGTCTGCTCTCTGTATCTCTTCATAAACTGCTGGCCCATGCTTATGGCCGGAGACCTTCAGCTTGTGTGGTTACACTGCTGCTCTTATAGGCTGCTCTAATCCTCTCACTGAGCAAAGTGGAAACGCCAAGGGCAGTAATTTAATAATTTGAAGTTAACCAAATGTTTAAGGGAAGGTGAGAGAGAAGGAAATCCCACAGTTGAAGCTGAATAACTGGAGGAATTGATAAATGCTCTTTACAGTCTGCTGTTCTCTCTCTGTATCATCATCACAGCAGATGCTCATGGTAAAACTACTCATCCTTTGCCTTTGGGAATTAAAGCATCCTTGTGCAAGTTGTGTCCCACCTCCAGCCCCTGAGCAACTCCACATACCACAGGAAACAAAACAAGTTGCAGAAGCACCAGTTAAGAACTGCCAACACCCACCAATATTAAGGCTGATAGCACGCAGCACAAATTAGCACTTTTCTTAGATCTGAACTTTAGAAATATCAATATGTTTTTCCATAAACTTATCAAGAGCTGTAACTATAAATAACTACTGCGGCACCTGATCAATGCTGCTCAATGACACTTCACTGTTGTGCAAAGCTCTGCTTGCAGGAAAATGTTAGGTAACTGGGAAGATTAGCAATCCAAAGGTTAGCTGCCTCAGCACCCCGGGCTCAGTGTCAGCGATACAAATTCCAGACCTCAGCAGTCAGAGGACAGTGGGTAGCAACCAAGAATTCCAGTCTTAAGCAGTCACGATACCACACAGTCTCTTTCAAACACCTTTGGCAACTCTGTTTTTACATAGCAAGTATGTGTAAATCAGCCTGAGGGTATACCTGTGTAGCACATCACACAGATGGGTGCAGCCATTGCTTTGCACCTCAGCAGTAACATCAGCACAAGGTTGCAGTAGCAACCTGCCACGAGCGCTGGCTTCTGGGACACAGCAAGATGAGCTGCAAGAAAATGCCATGTCAGCATAGCCTCCTACACAGCATCCAGTATCACAGAAATACTTCAGGATAACTGGGTAAATTTGGATGAAACTGCACAGTCCATTCAAGAGCCCAGTTTGTTTGATGCAAAGGAAAGCTGTACAGCAGCAGGCAGCCTTTTGGAGAGCTCTGAGTACAGCCACTTACTTGTTAACCCGCAGATGTCCACAAGCAGCATCTGCCTATCGCACCTCCAAGCAGCAGCTCATGGGACCCAGGCCTTCCTGCAGTGCTCTGAGCACAGGCTGGTTTTTGAGCCGGACCTGTACTTTGGCTCACTGAATTTC